GCCATGAAACCCAGCTGGGTGACTTTGGGCCAGTCACTGTCTCTGAAGCCAACCCAGCTCATAGGATTGTTGTTGTTGCGGGGAAAATAGCAGAAAGGAGGTGTGTTGGATCTGTTCACCACCTTATCTGTGGGATATAAATCAATCACACACATACACACACCAGGGCTACATTTTCCAAAATAGGGAACCATACTCTTCATGCTCAAATAATGAACAAGGAGCAACCTTTGACATAAACAAACAAAATTGTTAATCTACCAACTTGTTCTGTAATTCAAACAACAAATGCCCAAGTTAGTGCGGCAAGAAGCTAACTGATTTGTGTGGCCTGCATTAATTCACAACATTTAAGCCGTTTTCTTGCCACTGCCAGCTATGTTAATACGCCAGTATGCTTCTTCCATAGATGCTGAACTCCCATAAATAAAACACAAGCTTGACAGTGTGACACATCATTCTCAGTTCCAAATTAACCTGTTTCTTTGCTCCTATTGACAGCTATTGCATGCCTCCCCTCTCCCACTCCCTCCCTGGGAAAGAGAAACTTACCTGCTTTAGGAGGCAACACAAACACAGAATGCTCCAGAATGAACTGAGCACTGGTTAAAGTTGGTCTTTATACACCCTTATCTCTGGCAATCAGTCTTATCTGCAGACTTCATTGCAACACTTCACTTGGTTCCCCAGAAAAGTTCAGTCCTCTTTGTAAACTCTCTGTCAAAGCCCCCAGAGTTACTTGTCTCCCAGAGTTACTTGTCTGATTAACCCCCAATGTTTCGTGCAGTTTTCCTGTTTTATGGTGAAAGGGATAGGAATTCCTTAGTGGTTCACAGCTAGAATCATAAAAACAGAGAGAAACAGGCAGTGTTGAGTAATGTGTTAAGGGAAGACAAGAACAGCATATCTATCAGTTGCTGATACTATTATTACATATTAAAGGAAATATTTCTTAAGAAAATATTCCCATTCACCAGTGTTCTGTCATGAGTGGTCCTTTGATTACATTTATTTGAAATGGTGAAAATAGTAAAGGATAATAGAGTAATGGTGCTGTTCTTTTCCGACCATAATTAGTAACTTGCACAGGACAACAGAATTCTGACAACAATTCACAGATGGGTTCAAAGAGTTTTGGACAAAGACCGGGGAGCTAGTAGACTGTAAATAGTATCTGTCAGTTCGAAGCAGCTTTACTGTGTAATGTTATATTACAGAATAAATAAAATCTTCATTTATGATTATTGTAAATACAAATGATAGATAAAATGAGGGGAGAAAGAGCAAGTTAGTAAAGAAGACATGCATACGAGAAGGTACTAGCACAGTGTTTATCAACCTTGGCCACTTGAAGATGTCTGGACTTCAACTCCCAGAATTCCCCAGCCAGCATTCGCTGGCTGGGGAATTCTGGGAGTTGAAGACCAGACATCTTCAAGTGGCCAAGGTTGAGAAACACTGCGACTAGCAGATCAGAGGTGCCAGTAAGAGTAGGACAAAGAATATTCAGTTCTACAAAATTCTGCTTGGGTGTTCATTATGTCCCTCTAAGGATTATTTGGACCATCCAACTACAAAATGTAAAACCTTTTTGCCCAGCTGTTTTGACACGTTTTGTAAAAACAAATCATCCTATGAAAGTCACTGATTTGGAAAAAGAAAATAGCAAAGCATCCGCCATTTTCCGTCACTTAAGCAGATTTTAAAAATATAGATATAATTTGTAATAATTTGTAATAGCTTCAATCAAGAGTTCTCAAACTTTGGGTAGTAACATCTCCACTTTGGGGACCTGGGGAAAAGAATGTCAATGAAAAGTGTCAGGTTTTTCTTTTAAAAAAAAGTGTTCAGACTTGGATAAGAGAAACCTTTAGGGCCGTCAAAATTCAGATATCAATCTTTGGCTCAGAACCTATCAAGTTCAAGGCTCATAGTAATTATATAGATTAAAATTTAATTATTTTAGAGGTACATTTATTTCTTACTCAGACTTAACTTCAACAGAATCAAATCAGAAATTTTATTGGATGGATTGTACATTCTCATTTATTATTTTAGGTGATTGTAGCAGTGCAAAGTTTGAGAATGCCTGGATTAGGTTGTGATGTTTGCAGCACAGACGTTGTTGGGGACTGGACACGGTGGTTCCTTCTCCTTTTGAAAATCATAAATTATAGCGTCCACACCTTTTCTGTACACTTGTTTCACTACCATAGCAACCCCCATTCTAAAGGGAGTCCCAGCCCCCCCAGAGAGAGCAACCAAGGCATCAAAACCCAGGTCAATGGCCCCCTCTTGAGCACGCTTCTTAGCCATGTCAATGCAGTCTTGAGTATAGTAGTATATGCTGGTTGCAAAGTTATATAGAGTGCTGACTCCAGGTATGATCGTCAAAAGCTTGTGTATCTTTTGCTCCGTTAGATTTACACAGACTGCTGATGATGAACGTCGCATGCGTGCCTGAGTGCAACATTCATGAAGCCAGGAATGAGAACCATGCTGTGGCCAGAAGTAGCTGCCATTTCTAAGCACCACTTGGAAGGAACTGCTGCCGTTGGTGATAACTCCTCCACAAACATTCCCTAAACGGTGACAGGCGTCAGCAGCTGTTGGAAACCACTTATATTCACGGTACTCCTGGCCATGGAGGAGAGCTCCATCGACCCGCATCAGGCCTCGGCAGTGGAAAGTTTGTTTCTGGGCTAACTGGTCCAAATTGAACTGTAGGGCAGCAAAGCTTGTATTTTCACCTGTAGGTTTAGCTGTGTCCAGGATCTTTATCATTGTCAACAGGAGGTCACTTGCATCTTTCTGCCCCAGT